CGAAGGCGCGAGGTTCCTAGGGGGGTACGGAAAATTTTGAAAAATAAACCTGAAATGGCATTTCCTGCATTTTTGAGAGCATTTCAAAGAAAAAAAAAGACACAGTAGGCAGTTTTTTTTAGTTTTTTAGCGCATTAACAGTGATGTTAGTCACGCTTCAGGACTGACAAGATCGCTTATTATAATCACAGTACAGCTTAAAAGGTCCCTTCCTGAAAGTGGTGTGGTATAGTCACCGTGAGTTAAATTGACCTTAATTTGGAATTAACGTGGTGGTTTATGTCGGAACCTGCCCACCCCCATTTCTGTAGAAGTTCGTCAACTCACACCGACGGCTAACTCCTACCGTGGACAACAGCTGTGGAAAGTAGACGATGCCACTTCACATACCACACGGGGGTGTTCTATAAATTTACTGCTCCACCTGAAATACAAGTAAAATGCCGCAAGTCACCATGCTACTTTGGGACTTGGATTACAAGCCAAAAGCCGAAAATGAAAGAAATCCGTCAAACGGATCACGAATTATACATGTAGGAGCTAAAACAAAAAAACATAGCCGAAAAGAAAACCTCCTTCCGGAGGGAGACCTTCCATCCTGAAGGCAAAAGTGCATCGGTCGTATGAGGGTTAAGGAAGCACCATGTGTCGTGGAAAGATAGTTACAGTGTATTCCAATAATTCCCATGCGCAAGTAACCACCATCTCTCCATCTGGTCCCATAGCGATACCCGACGGGTTTTTAATGTCCGCGATGGCACGGACAAACTCCCCGCGTCTTGTGAACATGTCCACCCTGTTCTCAACATAGTTTGCCACGATGATGTGCCTTTCGAAGGTGCCCAGACAAATACCTCTGGAAAAATATGTTGCGCCCTTATCCCGTCCGTCAAATTCAAGTATCTTGACTCCGGAGTGACTGTACATGTACATCTTAACGATATTAAACGCGCCTGTAAGTGTAAGCAGGATATTTCCCTCGCTGTCCGATGTGACTCCCCCGATCTTACCTCTCTCATTAGCTGATAACACTTTAAAACTCCGATAGAGATACCCGTTTGGATTAAAAATCTTTACTGTATCTCCATGTCCCACGATTGTTTTATTGTTGCGTACGTCTATCGCCATGACGGGAACATAGCAAGGAAAGGTGAACTGTACGTCAAACTTCTTGATTGCCTGACCGGTCTTACTGTACTGTACGGCATGCATCAGTCCGTTATACTCACGCCCAGAAAAGGCTTACCGCCCAGTACCCACAGGTAGCCGGGCTCTACGCCAATAGCAACAGCAGAAGGCGATATATAGCTTTTTCCATCCGGCAGTACCGTTGGGAAGTGGCGGAGATAGATTCCATCCATGCTGAAGACGTGGACTCGCCCAGCTGGATAAGCCGTATCAGTCACAAATATCTCATTATCAGCAGACACGGCGACTCCGTACGCATATGTCATGCTAGGTTCTTTTCCCTTTCCTCCAATGGTGATCTTCTCCAACTTTCTGTCACCAATTTCTATGAGTGATAAGAAGAAGAGTATTTCCCATATTCAAATGTGGAAAATAAACATAGTTACACACTAGCACACATACATAGACACGCACATACATGCATACGCACACATACATACATACATATACATACATACATACATACACACACACAAACACAAACACACAAATACACACACATGAAACATTATGTAGACACGCGTGACCTTCATACATCATTGAATACCGACCTGTGTTACGGTAGTCGACACAGCCCGCACAGTCACAGTGAGCTGCAGTGTTCCCACACCACTTGGCCGGAGAGCAGCATGGCCAGGTACTGTCAGGGTCACACTCAGCGGTCCTCCCATCTCCTGTAGTGTAACCGTCTCCACAACGGTAGTCATCCCGCCATTTCTGAGCAACTACCAGAAAAAATACAAAAAAAAATACAGTAACAAGATGTTTGTGGTGAACAAATTCTTGAAACACGCAAAAGCTGGTTGAACTCTGGGATTGTTGGAAGGGTCCTCGGGGATTTTAACTTGATGGTTTCAATGTTATCCTACCAAATGAGAGTGAAATTCCGTGCTAGTCTCACCTTCACGTTGTGAGAAGCTGCTGACTGCTGGGAGCGTCGAGACAGAACTGCCACCTTCAGTTGGTATAGAGGTAAGGGTACACATAGTAGAAGTGGTAGTAGTAGTAGCAGTAGTAGCAGCAGCAGCAGTAGTAGGAGTAGTAGTAGTAGTAATAGAAGTAGTGGTAGTCTCAGTCGTAATTCTAGTAGTAGTAGTAGGAAGAGCCGGAGGAGGAGAAGAAGGAGTATTCACAGTCGTTCGTATAGGGTTAAGTGAATATGTATCCATAGTCGCTGTTGGCATGATGCCATCGTACTGTATTGGAAGAAACATACATTAAAAGAAAGCCACACACACGTTAGTAAATTTCATTTTTTATGAACATTATTTATTTAAATCAGTGCCTCATTTGCATAATTTATGAGCATAAGCTAGAACAGCTTTATTTCTTAAGATAATCCTGTCATTGGGTGGAGAATATGATCAACTGATATAATATCTGGAAATAATTGCAAGAATTTTGCTAGTGAGCAGGATTGTAGATTAAAGCCATTTACAGGTGGTCATCACCATGCATTAAAGATACAAAAAGAACCAAACATGTCGTGGAGGTATGAGATCGCCGAACTCTAGTGTTATTTATATTATCAGTTTCTATTACTATTACATACTATAAGACCTACCGTTGTTGAGCTGGCGCTTGAAATTAAATAGAGAAGGACACCACTAACGACGCACGACACAAGGACCGTAGCTGTATATACTGCAACTAAGCAGAGCCGGCGACGGGTGCATCCTGAAAGAGTGAGGGGGGGGGGGCATAAAGACAACATATATACATACCATATTCCGGTTTGCAAAAACAGTGATCTTTGAATCAAACCACTAACTGTCAACTTGATATAGAGAAGTACTGCAACAACTAGGAAGACAGGATCTTTGCCGGTAGAATTATGTACTATAATCGGTAGTATAAACATTTTATAACTGTAAAAAGAGAGATGACAGTGGCCATTACCACTAAGACATATATTCGAAAATATATCTGGTACAAAGACCAATATTTTCAATGCACTGTTATCAGGTCCGACTTCTATATCCGCTTAAATAGGTCATTTTCTTTCCACCAGAGTGGCAGACCAAACCATCTATATATCAGGACATAATGTAACTTATATACTGTTTACGATCATATTTTGTAGTTCTAGATGTAGGATAGAGTCCTTTTGTAGAATTGTTGTAACATAGTTGTTGTCATACATTGTAGCTGGAAGTATTGTCGAGGAATAGAAATTATTAAGTCCATAAAGTTCTTACCACAAGCTGAAGGATTCTGGGCGTTTGGGACGTACGTCGGATTCGGATTCAAGGCATCAGGGACACCGTTGCTCAACGGGTTGCTCGAGGCATCATTGATGTTGTTTGAAGCTGCTGCTGCTTGATTCTGCAGGGGGAGTTTTGGTTGAGTATCTTCTAAATCTGCGTTGCGTGCTGGGATATACTGGTAAATGTGTACATCACCTTGCTGATATATATCAGCTGATGTCAGGGTGCAGGGAATGTCATCGCTCGTATTTGACATGAAGGTGGATCCAGGGCTGGCGTAAGAATGCTCCACGGCGCTTTGAAGGTACATTGGGTTGGCGTTAGAAGCCTCCGCGGTGGTTTGCAGGTACGTCAAATTGGGGTTTACCTCGTTTATGGTGTGCATCGGATAAGGGTTTGTAGTGTTATGTGAATACATCGGACTTGGATCCCTGGCATGTATTCGCATTTTACCATCGTTTCCATTAAAGGCTGAAGTATCAGTATCATTCTTGACTGAGCCACATTCTGCCAAGTGGATATCGTTATCATTTCGGCTGCTGGACGCTGTTTTCGTTTTCTGTTTGCTTTTCGTGTCTTCCACACTTTTCTTCATACGGGTATTGGGTGCCTTGCATGTATATGCAATGGCGTATGTATCAAAATCTCCAGGGCTGATATGAATTCTCTCCCTGTTCCCAAAGGCAGCATCGCTTTGGGTAGATAGTTTTTCATCGTCATCATGTTCATATTCCCCACCTGTACCAGAGATGTAGCTATCAGCATCTTCGTCAACTTGCCTGAAGGTACTAGGTGGTACAGTTTCTGTACCTGGTTCAGTCATGCTATGATTGCCGAAGTCGTTTCGGACGACACTTGACACGGCGTCGGAGGTCAGGTCCTCAGCCATGGCTCTGAGACTTCTTCAAGACTCTCTATCATAATACAAAAGACCAAGACAAAGAATGACGCTGCACTTGAGTTGCACATCCTATTCTAAAGAGGATATTGTGCAATTTTTTGGGGCGTAAACCTGGGGTGGGGGTGGTTAATCGGTTAGGCACACCCAAGGCTAGCTAGGTAAAGGCACATGTGTCAGCTTAGTTTTTTTTTGGGGGGGGGGGGGAAATAATCATATCTTTTCACACGAGGATGGGATAATTATGAATTTAGCCTATTATATAGTAAGTTGTTATAATAATATTTTTCACTATATAAAATCTGGTAAGGAAAATATGTTGGCCTGAAAGACGGCAGTTTGTAAATATGTTTGTATGTATGTATGTATGTATGTATGTACGTATGTGTGTGTGTATGGAGCAACAATGTTGCATTTATTTTCCTGAATTTTCCTAATCAAATATTTTAACCTAACGTGCTGACGTTTCGGTGCCTATCAGATACCTTTCTCAGAGCTCATGACTGGAGTTCTGCTTCTCGCCGCTATATGTAGCCGCTACATGAAGACAAGGAATTCGAGACACAGTTCATCAAGAGAGTCCTTGTACCCTGCGACTACCCCCAAATGACCTTCAAAAAATTGGAACAACAGAAGAAGAGACCAAAACAGACAGAAAGGAGCATCAAGCAAGAAAGCAAGAAGGAAAAAAAACCTAGGGCTTTAGTGATAATCCCGTATATCAAAGGAGTCACTGAACAATTGGAGAGGGTGTTCAGGAAATATCACATTACGACCGCAGTTACTAGTGAAGCCAAAAACAACACTAACGAATTTGCTGGTTTATCCTAAGACCCGAAAAAAACGATGCCAAGAAAACAATATGCCAAGACTAGAAAGGTTACATTTACAAATGCATAATGTTTACCTTCTCATATGGTCTGCTCTGTTTATTCTTACCCAAACACATTCATATATATGGTGCCAGTCTAAATCCCTCCTGCTAAAAATTGCAGCATGATATGACATCATGCATTATGTTACTATGGTGACAGACATCTGGTTCAAGACATTGACCTTATTTCGAGAGGAAGAAGAGGAAACAAAGCAAAAACAATATGTTTCCCTTCCTTAAACATAAAAAGGTGCAAAGAAAGATCAGAAGGACAATCGAGCCGGACCTTGCAGAGAATGGTTGTGGAGGGGGCGCAACACACAGCAAAAACAAGACAACATATAGAGGACAACGACAGTCGGCCATGATGCTCTGCATTGGCGTGCGGCAATGATGATGATAATGGTGATAATGATGACTCGACTTTCTTTAATGCGATATTTGGGTATCTGAGATCAGCACATTTAAACAAGTTATCCTGAATTCTATACACATCTGTGTCCATAATATCACCAGGGTCCATAATATCACCACCTTGAGAAGTAGTGTGCTTAAAGATATTTTTACTGCAACATACCCTAGGTATGTACATTTGATGTGTAAAGGAGTGCATACCAAAAGTATGTTGCAGTAAAAATATCTTAAAGCACACTGTTTCTCAAGGTGGCGATATTATGGACCCTGGTGATATTATGGACACAGATGTTATAGCTGTACACTATTTGGAACGCTGTAAATATCCCTGAAGTTAGTAAACGTCACTGGCAGACAGAATCAACACATTTCTATGTAAATGAAGCTGCCCACGAGTCGATCGTCTTCACATACCAGACAATGCATATCAAAGCCATGTTGAAGTACGTGACGTCTCAGGTTTGGTTGTTTATCTGACATATTGTTTTTACTGAAAAGTGTTTTAGAGGTTCTTGTGATACCGATTTGTTACCTGTCTCTTGATTAACTTGAGGTTATTTTAGTCAAGAAAGAATTTTCAATTATATCTTATTAAGGAAATATACGTACGCCTAAACACCCAATTCTTTGTTGAGTGGTTTTATGCAAACAGTAATGTTTACATTATAGCACAGGATAGTTCATTTGAGGGACCACATGAAAATCAAAGTAATCATTATCCACAATTCGGACCGTTATTGTTGAATTTATAATTAAGCTTAGCGAAACACCCGTGAAGGAATTTTCAGTCGATCTCGACCGAAAATTCAGCGCAGTGAAGTAGTCATCTGACGACAGCCAACGAGATCAAATGACAATTCATGGTGAGTGTTTCTGTTTTGTTGGAACTAAGGTTGAATTCTACAACTATGAATACTACCAGAACATTCGAATTTCGACCATTGTTGTGTTTCAAAGAGAAAACATAACGTTCGTATGGTACATACCAACCAATTTTCCACTGCAGATCGTCAGGAACTAAATTCTCCGCAGATCGTCAAGAACTAAAAACCGGAATGACTCTCTTTAATTTTAGTGGTAATAATATATTATGGAGATGTGAATAACTTTCTGTACTTACGATGAGGCTTCTGAAAGCGGCTTGTCTGCAGGACGGAGTGACGCACAACTGAGACTCCGTGCCGAGAGATGATATAGATATATTGAATAAACATATCTTCTAGACGTTTTGTTTATTCAAATAAGACAGCACGTACAGCCATAGTGGTGGCGCACTTATATCATCACTACCACTGACATAAACAGCAAAGGAATACATTTGCACAGAATACACTTCAACAAATACTATAAGAAAGGCATTTGATGTGGAATAACAAAACAGTGAGTGATAAAACAGTGTGGTTTGAAAGCGCCAGCCCCGTCCAACCTAATGTACTAATGATGACAGAAACTAAACACACTGTTACACACTATTAGGTATTGAAGTGTTTGATTGTACATGTAACGTTAACATAAAGTTTTGAGTAATGGGCAATATTTGGAAGGTTACAGCGTTGAGGTGAGAAAAAAGAACGTCTTCGATTGCAAAATTTATTCCACTGCAGGAAAAGAAAAAAACAAATGTGAATAAATGAAAATGAATTTTATGGAAAATGAGGATGTTACTGGTTAGCCCCTTCATAGCCTGCCCTTTACAATTAGGTTCTGATTCTTCTTTTCAGCACATGGTGTTCCGACGGTCTCACAGCGCCACCTAGCAATAGTTATCAGAACTGTAACAACTAAAGCCTGTAAGGTGGTAATAGTGTACAGTATACAATGCTTGCCTCTCATATGCGGCATATTTCGGCTTATTTCTCCCCCAAATAAACGTCTTGTTACCGTCAAGACGCTCTTCACAAGTCTGTTTCATATTCAGCAAATAAATCAAGTTGAGGCACCCCCTGTTCACAAATTTCTAATTCTTTATTCCTTTATCTGGCATAACTCGCCCATACACAACATACATATAAAACACACACACAATTACATCAGTAAAAGAATAACATGACTATATGTACAGACGGGCCCAGCTAATGTTACATTAATGTTATCTCTAGTCGTGTTAGCCAAACTAGTATGGGGACCAGGCCTAATTGTAAAGCACATGTTTTGAGAAGGTTTATAATCACAAATTAAGATGTTTAATAGAAGTTATATTAAATTGCCGAATACGAAACACAGACTTGTTAAGAATGTCTGAGAACATGCATTTTAAACAAAATCAGATATCAAATGTTAAAAGACAAGACTCAGATGCAATTAAAAGATTTGGCTGCTCATCGATAACAAAATGTATTCATATTTATTCAGAAAGTGTAACATGGACAATACAAAGTGTGCACTAGGCAGCAAGTATGCTAATAGTATGCTATGCACACCTAACACATACACCACATATGACATAGAGGCAACAATAGATAGTTCAATCGAGATATATACAGAAATAACATCATCTGATAAATTACACATGCAATTATAATAAAATAATCAATTTTACAACAACAAATCGTTTGTACAAAGCTTGAAAGGCCAACAAGACCCAGAAGAGAGAGGGTCGCTACGTTTATTATAGCTTACTTACAATGTAGTGCAGGCACCCTTTTTATTATTACCTCCGGGGTAGGAGACATCCTTCCGCGGAAGGGTTTTGTGAGAGATTTAGATGTTTAGATTTTCATGTTCGCAGCTGTTTCCCGCGTTTGGGTGGACGGATTCTTTTGAGACTCGGTATATGTTTTGCTATTGGGCTGCAGATGACGCACGTTCTTTTGTTTTTATTGTATATGTGTTTTTGGGCGTAAAAATGGGCCTTTTGGTGGCCCCAAAACCCCCCTTTGAGCGTGAAAGTGGTCGCGACCGTTGACCTTTCGCGTGTTTAAGCTGTTCTCGGTCTGGTCCACGTATATGACCCATCACACAGAGGGGTGTCCGGTCTCCTTTGTTTAAAACCCTATATAAAATATGCAATAAAAAGCACGGAGGTATAAAAGCTAAGATTTTACTTGTTTTCCCTTTTTCATATCCAACTGTGACCCTCACTTCTTGCAATGTCCAGTCCGTACAGGTTGGTGTGAGCGGTTCTATCTGGGAGGAAGGACTCTCGGCACTGACCAAAAGAACGCCTCCCTTCTGCACTCACCGGGACTGCACCCAGATGCCGCCCTATGGCTTGTAGACAATCGCAATGTGAAAGTAATGGGGTTTGACACTATCTCCGCGGATAGTGGACCAGGCTTCATGGATTCAGGTCAATGGAGGCGATTAGTTCAGACTTTATCCATAAGGTTAACACAGAAAGGTTTAGATTATTATAATAAATCAAGCAGGACCAAGTCATATTCCCCGTGGCCTCGGCGTTCAACTTTACCTATCTATATGCTGAAAACTGCAGCCAAATCGTCAGCCAACAGGAATCGAGGTATTCAAAAACTAGTATTTCCCCAGCACTATCGCAGACTGGAACTAGTTGCCACCAAGCACAGTTGGGGCATCATCACTAGAAAGCTTTAAACAACTCCTGCAATCAAATGTGCAAAGATCGAGTGTAACAAGTCGTTCGGTGTGATATATCTAGCTGCCGCCGCGCCGCGTGCCTGCGAAGCTGGTGTGTTACGCCGAAGGGCGGTTATACCGGCTATACCGATACAGATACAACAA